GTGCAATCTTCATTCCTAGGCTACAGGAACGAGGGTAAATTTGTCCCGAGGTGTGACGTCCGTAATTTGTCGCTTGGAGTGGTAGTCACAAAAAATGGCTTGAAATATCACCAGAACTGGAAAACTCGCAATATCACCGAGACTCTTAGGGTGTGGACTTGATTGTGGATTCTTTTCTTCCATGGCTGCTGAGTTGGAATCCTTTGTTTTGAAGTTCTTCATCGGCCTGTTTCAGTGGTGACCGTACTTTTAAGATTTGTTTCCTGTGAATGCAACCATTGGCCGTTTTCGTATCGGAGCCTCCGAGTTGAACCCTTGTTCAGTCATGCTCTGCAGTCCGTTTCGATCCTGTTGTGAGTCATAGAACTATCCAAGCGGGTTCAAGTCCAGGAACACATTGTATGAGTGAACTCGAGTTCCCATCGTCTAACTTTTCAGACGAATGTAGGTAGATAGATTGTAATGAATCATAGAAGAATGTGCCCGTACAGTGACTCACAGTCGAAGTTCCTTCAGCGCGAGGCAGAACAATCTCGGTCCTGTGCTGAACTCGCTTGTAACAATGTATGAATGTTGGTGTCGTCACTGCTGAGTTACTGAATAGGTCTTGTCTTTCTATTTTCGAAAATTTGTGAATTTTGGTAAGTTTTGCCGCCAATCCCCTGGCTGTACTCTGAGAGCAGAAGCAAATTTCTTCGTCGATAGAGACTAGGTGGTTGAATGAGTCAAATGGAATGACTGTTTTGCGATAGTCCAACACAAAGACCTCTACGGCGAGGAATGAAATGCCCTTTATGAAAACCCGGAACAGTGCACTTGATTGGAGTTTGTCGGAGGTAGGGGGAAATAAGACGTTTAAAGGTCAAAGAAGACGAGATACTCCATGCTTTCGATACCATTTCTTCCGAAATAAGGAATTTTGTAATTGACTATCAAAACCACAGGTCAAGGTGATTTTTTGGTAAAGCTATCTGAAATTCTCAGTCAAAAACGGTCCAACTGGACGCGCGGATAGGGGCATCGGGGTGTGGGCTGCCCTCATGTTCAGCGTGATTTCGTCTTTTGGCTAGGCCATTCCAGTTCATAACAAAGTTATTTTAATGGCTGTACTTCGCTGAGCGAATGACGAATAACTGGTAAATTTCTGATCAAATGGCTGACCTGAACCTATTGATCACTATTTATCTCAGTTTACATCAGTGTTTGTGTTCGCTTCTGTTCATATATTAGGGTTGTTTATTCGATTTCGCATTCCGATCAATTAGCTGCCATTATCCAAAGGGCAAAAAACGAGCGTAGGGTAGCGTTTGTTTTGGAAACCATCAATCAAAACTATTTGAAATGTATAAAAATGTCTGTAAGTTTTTGCCTGTGTGGGGGGAGGGTTGCTGACTAACAACCTGAAACACTGTAAACGGTGTAAGATACTCTGACATACGAGCAATCACCTTCCTAATTAGGTCAGGGTGAGGATGAGTAGTTTTTCGATGTATACAGTCGATTACAGTGGCTTCGTACGAACCGTAACTGAGGAAAACATTCGTAACCATTTCTGAGAAAGCTTGCCTCCGATATAGGAAGAATAGAGGAGTTTTGCTGCTGTAAAAAATGCTTAAAGGTTATGGCCCCCAAGGCTCACCTAGGGAACGCTGTCGGGTCTAAAAACAATGAAAACGGGGCGTAAAAAGGGCTCTCAAAACCAGCTAAGCCGATGACACATTCAAGACGGACGAGTTATTAGCGTTGTAAAGCTGTAGAGGTTGCACATTTCGCAATGGGACCCACACCTTGCACGCGGGCAGTATGGCAGCCAGGCAATGGCGCGCGCATTCATAGAATTCGTCCCCTCCATGCAGCTTCTTTCTTAACATTCTCGTCTAACCTCTAATTTTACTTATTTTTTTAAAGCCTCATGTTTCTCTGAATACATCGATTTTCGTATTTTCCCCACTTTAGCTTTGTTCGGGACGACCACTTTCATTACTCATCTGAAACTAGACGGCCTAAAATTATCGTGAACTGTGCGTTTGAGTAAGCCATTTGTTAATAACAACTTCAGTTCATATTAGTCAATATTAGTTAATTTCAGTTCAGCACTTTGTCAATTCATACTTCTACCACTTCGCTCTAGTTTTTGACACCTTCATCTTCATCTTTTTTTTNTAATTTCAGTTCATATTAGTTAATTTCAGTTCAGCACTTTGTCAATTCATACTTCTACCACTTTGCTCTAGTTTTTGACACCTTCATCTTCATCTTTTTTTTACTTTATAGTGTATCATACACTAATCCTTGCTAACCCGTACTCACTGTTGATCCTCAGGGGTTAGTGAAAAGAACATTGTTCGTTTGAGTAAGAGGTGAAACGAATCATATATTGTTTTTTCACTACTTTTCACACATTGTCAGTTACTGAGCTTTCTTTAGTATCTGTATGGGCACTTTCCTGTATAAGATCAAGGGTGTCGGTCTATATCTATGACATCCTCCTTGTTCTTACTCAAGGGAACTAGCTTTTTTGTGCTCTGAACTATTTTTCTATTACCGGTTCTTAATTTTTGCTTTATCTACATTGACACTGGACTTATCATTCCTAGCAAGAAGGTAGCTCCCAGATGTCATCACCACTTGAATGAACACCACCGTTCAGCGCATGCGAAGCAGATGTTTCTGGTTGTTTTCTAGGCTTCCTGGTCTTAGTATTATGTTTGTTAATTTGAGAACATTAAAGAAATCCAAAGGTGAACCTGCACTTCATTCTCCCTTCCCTCTTCTCCTATGCGTTGCTCCTTTTCCTCATGCAGCCACTTCTATTTTCGGAAGTTCCTTTGAATCCTTTGACCTCATCGGCCAGTTTTTCATGTTTTCACCATATACCACCGTTTTTACTCACAATCAGTGCACGGTCCGCTGCACGGTACGGCTTTTGTGAAAGTCAAGAAGTAGAAATTTTCAAAATACGAAAGGGTAGGATTGAACTGAGAACCGCTGAAGTATCTGGAATTGGCTGATCATAAGGCAAATCAGTTTTGCATTGTAACTTCGGATTGTCCTTGTCAGTGAAAGTAGGTCCAGTCGAAAATTACAGCGTTATATGACATGGCTGTCATTCAGACAACTCCCTCTATTCGCTATCTTCCTGGACATGTTTTACATCGACTCTGAGGACATGAAAAGTTCGGGGGCCTTCACGGATTAGATAATATGGGCCGTAAAAGCCATTATACTGCTCGTCTACCGGCTGCGCGGCCATCATAGCAATATTTATTAGCCATACTTGAACCGGAATATTTGTAAGCAATCATCGAAGTGTAGATAGCAGATAGATACGAATGGACAGGCTAACCTCTTCCTAACATCTAAACATCTGTTTGGCTGCCGTTTTTGATAAGTGATGTCGTTTTTTTTTTNTTTTTTTTTAACACAAGTGATGTTATTCCAATCGAAGGATATTCGTCTGCTTGACAAATTGTCTTGTTTCAATTCGAGGGGAGCTCGCTGTTTGGTGAGTCGGCGAAAATCAGCCGGATTGCCAGCTAACTTAGATCTCCGTTATTTTAAGTAAGAAATCGGGCAGTGATGTATATACCGAGTTTTTCAGGTATTTAACAGTTGAGTTGTCCGGCAAACCCTTTCTTGAAAAAGCTGAAGCGAGAGCTGACCTCTTCCATCAAAGCTGAAGCGCTGCCGCCTCGCTATGGCGATAATTCCGAATGTTTTCACCGCAGAGCCATTGAAAGACTTGAAGAACCCTGGAAAAAGGTCGGAAAAAAAACCTGCTGTAGGCCCAGAAGACACCCATTTGAGTTATGGGTAACTCACTGGTAGATTTCTTGAAGGGGAAAAGAGAGATTGAGCTAGTTTTAAGTTCCAGCAGCTAACTTTCACTTGGCTTTTGATCTTCTTTTCTTTTCCTTTCAAGATTTTTTCAGACTTTCCACTTTGAATGCCTGAGTTCCAACCTAAGTCATTATTACTTTCGAAACGAGGTTGTCCATTTTATAGTGCAAACAAAAATATTTCGGAATAGTCTACGATATGGTTTAGAACGTGCATGGTGAATTTTTTACCTAGGTAGCATTACCTTGCAGATACGCGACCCTTAAAAAGTATGAACATTTCTAAGACAATTCAAGTTATTATCGGTACGATGAGGTTTTTTTCAGAGAACGGTTTCTGATGGTGTAGGGTAATACACAACGGTACTAAAAGGGAAGCGTATTAACGACTGTACGGTTCAATTTGACTTAACGGAGTCTTTCTCTGAGATTCCCTTTTGTTTGTTCCCTATCCAGGCCCCATTGTCTTGGTAGTAACATGCTACATATACTGCTGTTGTTGAGGACTCTTCTCACGTCCTCAACAACTGTTCGATAACGAACGCACAAACATCTGGATAATGGTCAACCTGAAAGCATGTGTCTAGTAGGTACAACGTAATAGAACCTCACCAACCTCTGACTAATGCCGATCGTTTATAAGCTACTTTTCTATTCTGCTATAATTACAGGAATCAAGTAAACATGACACATATTCCAACTCAATTTGAAAGATTCGAGGCATTGTGTTGATTAGGAACTTGGTTATCAGGGCACAATATCATTTTTTACATTCTCTTTGCTATTTTATGGAGCCACATAAGGATCGATTTTATCATTCTACTGATGCATTGAGATTGAGGGGAGAGATTTATTGGAACCAAGTTTCAGAAGGAAATTCAAGGGCCACTATGTAGGTATATCATTTTGACTGGTGCGTCACATGTTTCCCATTGTTTGTTATTTGTTGTTCATTAATCCCTCTAAATTTTTTACAATTTTTTTGTCTCCTTGCGTCTTATCGCATCATCGCTCTTCATGTTTTCCTAAGAGTCATGTGATGTTTTACTATAATGTTGCCTCACCTAAACGCAGCTGTTTACTCGATTAAGCGTTCTGTTTTGTAACAACTAACGTCGAAGGAGTCCATTGTCAACAAATTTCGTCGATGACATACGAAATATGTACGCCGATGATGTCTCGTTCCTTTCAAAGCATAGAGCAAACTCAGAGAATAGTGACGCCTACTACGTTCCAAGTCTCCGTTTCCCAATTCGGTAGGTATTATATGTCCCTTATGTTGTTGTAGTGCAATCTATCAGAATTTTGCATTCGACTTTCACATTTGTGTTTCACAATTTCTGTCAAGGCTTCGAGGTGCAGTGATCTGAACACCAAATCGCATACTGGTACTCAATGCATTAGTAGAATGATGTCTAAGCGATAAAATCAGTTACGCCATGGTAAATTGTCGTTGGAACCAGAATAGCCCGTCAGAACTGGTAACGAAAACAGCAGGACTTTTCGTTTACCTTTTAGACAAAGACACCTTTTCTGAAGGAAGACTAGTTGGTAGTACCGTATCGGCCGTGCAAATCCTCTTATCTATGTATCCCTACTTTACTCTTCGATTCCTCTGAAGTCTTCATTACCTTGCTCGATTGAACATAACCCTAACAAAGCCAGATTTCATTTTCGTATGATATTAATCTAACAGCTCAGTTTATTAGTAGATGGTTAACGACATTGGTTTAATGATTGCAGATTTTTGAGATTATCATGGTGGATCCGCTACCTCTAATGTTCAAATGACTTGCTGCAGCTGCAGCGCATCTCAAGTAATCCTGGTAGGCACCAGTGGTTTTTCGGGCGCTCATTTTATTAAGCTCGGATAATAACTCGATTAACCTAATAAACTGATTTTTTTTATAAATAGTTTTTATTTACTGTCCTTTGTGGGCGATCCTCAATTCTAAGAATTGCCATCTTCATTGTCATTGTCATTATCAGAATCTTTTATTAAGGATTCGTGAAGGAATTTGCAACCCCGAAGTGTCGGCTGGCTTTTTTCTTTTTTTGGGTTTTCTATAGGCATTAAGTGATGTGTAGTCATATAGTCATTTTCCACTTGAATAGGAGTATATACTCGTTTTTGAGAACCCCTTGTCGTACATAGTTTACACTGATATCCTAACATCATCGCATTGCAATTACTTATTCTTGTTCGCAGTAAAAAGCAATGCCAAGTGCACAGTCATATTGAAGCCTGCTCAGGACTTTAAGCAAACTTCTAGTTAGATACGTTTTCATGTTGTTTCGTCTTTGCTTTTTGGCTTGACGGATATTTCTCTTCTTTCTTTTCTCTTTGTCTGCTTCAGCTAGTCAGAGGAATGTTGCACTGCCTTCTTAGATTGTTGCATGATGTAGCTGGTGCTTTATGGAATCTTGTGTTTCTTTTATTTTTGCTTCGCTGTGTTTGAGCTTACTAGCACATCTGTCTGAGTGCTTTGGTGCACCATGAGTGCAGTATATAAATAAATAAATAAATAAATAAATACTCTCTATAGATTTGGGCAGAGTTACTGGCTCATTGTTTAGGTGAGTATCGGCGAAAAGAGTACCTTCCAACGCCGCCGTCACGTTACATATCCTCCGTCCACTACCTTCTTGTATTGCTATTACTTTTTATGGCTGCTCAATCACCTTTCTGTCGAGCAGCTTTCTGTCTACTATTTCGTGCTTTCTTGCATTGCTATCGTATTGTAACCGTCCTCTTTTGTACCTTGGCATCGTCAAAATTCCAAAAAGCTGCCTTCAGCATCAATTGAACTCGTTCAGATTAGCGTGGGCCGTGTTGAACGAGGTGGACGTAGCGACGGGTGGCGGTCGGCGCATGCCAATGTGGATCCTCTACGGGTGTTTTGTTGTCACGTTCTTTTATTTGTTGACCGTCACCAATATCTTCGAAACAAACAAAAGTGTGTACGAGTTTATTCGGAAGACATCACAAGGAAAATACCCACGACATAGTAATGAGCAGGCATCAGGTCATGAAGGTGAGAATGTGTAAAGTTGATTTTTCGGTCGAAGAGACATAAAGTCGTGGGGTGGTTTGCACTTTTAGATGGATGACTCAACAGCCATGAAGGTTCTGAAGTAGGTTGAGCTTACCATTGGGGCTATGCCACGAAGGCCGTCGTAGTCACCTGTAGGGGTAGAAATGACCTGAAGATTTGCCAGCTGAGTAAAGCTAGAAAAGTGGTGCTTAGCAATGGTGGTTACGACGATTTGGAGGCACAGGTAGAGAGCTGTAGAAGAGGCTCCAAGGGATCGGGCGAAACGGTGGAAAAGATGGAGTGTTACATGGGAATTGTGGAGAAAGTGCAAGAGGTAGAAGACTCCGACATTTTGAACTTTGCAGTTCTACTGAGACCGACCATCCGTCTAGGATGCTTGAGCATGAGCGGAAATTGTAGAATACAAAAATAGGCCGGCCCTGGTTTCGTTGAGGTTCGATACAGCGCCCGTACGGTCGAAATGGGAGAAAGCATCAAAGCACCGTACGGTTCAGAAAGATCTAGGAATGGGCGACATCCCTCTGGGAGTGCAGCGGTCTTTCCTTCATCAAAAGATAACGCTAGACTTGGTCTGAACAGCCCAGAGCAAAGGTGAAGGTCCAGGCTGTCGTTTGTCAGAAACCTAACAAGTATTGTAACTGTCCCATTGTGGACCTTTACCTCTGTCCAGTCAGCTGTGTTGATCTTTCTCCTTTAAGGAACCAACGAGACGATATATTCGACGCAGGACATCTTCGATACCTGTCCATTTGTGCCACCAGATCCATGGGATCCGGAAATTCTCAATTATATCGACGTCAAATATGGATTCTTCAATGTGAGTTGTTTTACTGGCTATTTGTTGTTCCGAAGCACTCAGAGGGAA